TTACGAATAGGTATTTCAATAGAAATAGTGAAACTCATTGATTTCGTTCAACAGAAACTAATCTACACTAATTTGACCTTAAATGGTTCTAAAAGAAAAATATTAATTTCTGACTTATCAAATCTTTCGGTGTATTTTTCTCAAAAGTAAACCCTATCGATATTTATCTTAATTTATTGATCTTTGTCCACTACTGAGTTGAGACTGGGGTCTGGGTATAGATATTCTCTGATGCGGGTGTGGGTGTCAGTGCATCGGTCAAGAGAAGAGGCCGGTTCACACCCACACCCTATTCATCCTATATCCTAAAAGTAGTTGAGATTAGCAACTGTTGCCATCCAGTAATACTTTAATAATTGATCGAACTTATATTTTGAAGTTTGATTTTTTTTTCAAAATACATTTTCTGTCATTAAAAATTCAAATAGAAAAAAATTCCAATTAACCGGATAACAGTATGATTTTTGATTGGACGAATAATTGATTATGTATGACATTTCACTTGAGAAAAAACTGAAGCTTTGATTGCCACCAATTGCTTTTGTCTTTACTCACCCTTAAATAGGACATTAATCATTTGTTTTTGCCTTTAAATTGTTCCATTTTAAAGTAAAATTCAGAAAATACAAAGGCTCAAGTGAATTGTACTTTTCACTTACTTATATGCTGCTTTAAAAAGTCAAACCATGAACCAGAACATGTTTTTTTCCGAAATTTCTCTATTTTCTCTTATTCTTATTTCCTAAACCGTTTAGAAGTGATCGATTCTGACTTTGTATTGAAAATTAAATATAAAATGTAGCTTAATTGAGTTTAACATTAATACAAATTCTAAAAGTCTGTTCGATTCAAATAACTTGAACAAGCACCGTCTAAGGAAAATTTATCTCTCTTCTCTTCGTATTAGATATGACGTCCGTTTAATTTCGAATGAATGTTAATTAGAATGATGACTTGAGTATTTTATATCAGTACAATATATGGTGAATTGTTATTCTTTCGATACTAACTGATTATCTACTACATTCTAAATGAGTCGATGGATGTAATGCTCTATTTGTTAGTTATATCTCCTTTTTTCTTGAGGATCAAGCGATTGTTCTCTTATTTGATTGTGAGCATAGAGGAGGTGAATATTTGTTAAGGGATAACATAGTTGATGATTCTTAATATCGACTAGTTGAAAAATTAAATAATTGATAAGACACTAAGTAATTCAAAACTTGCATTTGCTTTTTACATCAGCGTATAAATTCGAGAAACTGTACACCAGACTTGGAACCAGTCGGTCCAAATTCTTAAATTTACCGGCGAAAAACTGGTACATTTCATGCATTAATTAACCAATCAGTATTTTCGAGAAACAGTCTATTACTTCAATTTGATGAAGATATACAATGTCAAACTGAGAATTCTTGAAGTTTCTAATAATAATAGTTCCTATTTCAGTCTATCACGCTTAAGGCGTCCACATTAAGAACGAGCGATAATTTCTTTAAAAAAATTTGGACCTAGAACTCACAACAACAAATGTCCATTGCAAACAAAAGGGCGAGTGAGCATTTTCTTTTTAGATAATTTTTAATAGAAACAAGATAGAGAACTGCTATTCTCACCATTTCAAAGAGAAGACTCAGGCGCATGAGCATATGTTAAAACCTGATTAGTTAACAATTGATCAATCAGATCGTCTCTCTGCAAGCGCTTCGAAAATGATATTCAAGAGCGATTTCTCAACCTTCATCAGTTATGAATCTACTTGTTGGATAGGAAAATTATTCTCCCTCAATCAGCACAAGGTCAACGTAAGCAGTTGGTTCCGCTCAAAAGTTATAAGAATTTTCCAGAAGCCTCCGATTTCAGCCAATCAATTTTGGATAACTCGGAAGGTCATCTAGGATAGATTTATTCATTATACTGAGTCGAATAGCTGAAATCGGAGACTTCTGGAAAACTCTTATAACTTTTGAGCGGAACCAACTGCTTAGTTCGGCCTTGTGCAGATTGAGAGAGAACAATTTTCCTACCCAACAAGTAAATTCACAACCGAGAAAAGTTAAGTAATCGCTCCTGAATACATGTATTTGTACCAGAAGTCACTACAATCAAAGCTATGACTTGATTTTCTGATTGTTGTCACTTTCGCTGTAGCGATACTGTGCGATATATGCGAAAATCACTTTCGAAATGCTTGTAGAGAGTGGATCTGAATAATCGATTGCTAAGCAATCAAGTTTTAGCATGAATTTATGCACCTATGTCTTCATTTTGTAATAGTGAAAATCGCAACTCTCTATCTTGTTTCTATCAGAAGTTATTTGAAAAATATTCACTGGGCTTTTTTTTCGGAAATGGACATTAATATCCAACAATATCTAACTATGTTTTGGCTGACTTTTTTCAAGAACGATATGATTTGCTCATAATTAATAATTTTGATCTAATTTTATTTGAAATAATTTTTTAACACTGCTGAAAGGCATCTCGATCTGCAAAGGGAAGGCTCCTGTAGACAGAAAGATGACGCGAGCTAAAACGTACGATTTTTATATAAGACTTTCTATGTAAGATTTCTTAATATCTAAGTATTTTCACAGCTAGATGATGGCAGTAGTCGACAAGTTCTTAACAACAGAACTGAAACTTTGTTGATTATTTTTTTATGAAATCATGAACTCAAAACCTACTACCTAGTAGGATTTTTGTGAGAGTTGGTCAACAGTAATTCGGAAACGTGATCTCAAAACTTCAAGGTGACAAATCTATAGATTAGACTGATATGACCTTCTTATATCTAGCTAACTTTCGTGAGCATAAAAATAGTCCTTCAATATGCTCCGAGGTTCTCATCCTAAAATGGAAAATTGTTAGTCAATATTAATAGCTGGAATTTCGACAAGGACTGAAAATTTATCAGTTGGAAATATTCAAGTTCATATATATCTTGATCATTGAAATCATAGACTCGTTAAAAACCAGCAAAATAGACAAGTTTTTGAGCACCAAAAAAATTATTAAAAATTAAAAAAAAACCGTCGAAGACCGGACAGTTTGGTTTCAAGTCTAATTTCAGTTGATGATGTAATTGATACCACTGAAAAGAATATACGCAACGATCGGGATAAATCTAATCAGTCGAAAAAGAGCTGTAAATTTTGATAATTTGTCAGTATTTCAAGTCGCAACTAGTCATCTCTTGCTGTCGTATTTTCTAGTTTCATAATTAAAAAATCAGTTTGTTGTGGCCTCATTTATGCAAAATTTGCATGAAACTAACTCGAAAACAAAAAGCATGACTGAATCAAATCACCTAAGTTGTTTATTGACTCTACGTTTTTGTCGATCTAATGACTATTTCAGTTTTGTTCACATATGATCGATTTTCTTCACATAAACTGTCAGTTAAAGCATATTACAGAAAGATTATTTCTAACTATACATTTAAATGAGAAAATCATCCAACATAGAGATGGCAATTTTTTCTTCTAGCTTTTCTGAAATAATTTCAATACGAAAAGTATATTGATTTGTTTTTGAGTGATTGATTTTAGAATTCTCTTTCTAGAATGTAGTTGAATTACTATTTGTTTAATAAATTTTACTTTGATTATGTTTGGGTTTGCTCATGTGAAACAGACTAAATTAGTATGTATATAGGTTGCTTCCAAGTGAATATACACTTAGAAGAAGATAATCTCATGTGTATTCTATCGATCTATGTATTTGAATGTGTTCCGTCTGTCAAAATAAAAAAAGGCAGATTACAATGTGCGTACATACTACTTAAAACAGAGAACAAAGAAAAATATCAGTCGAAAGATACAAGTTGTGGAATAGAAAGCTTTGAATCATTTTCTCGATAACGAAAATTCAATTAGAATTTTTTTGCAAGCTTATTTTGTTTAGCATAGACTCAATGAAATGTTATCATTTATTAATCTTTTAACGTTCAACAAAAACGAGTTACAAAAAACAATCTCATGTTCATTATATCTTTATTTCTCAGATACACAAACAGATCTCATCATAATTAATTAAGATAATGCTAATATGATGACTTTCAAATCAAAATATTAATTCAAAACGGTATGTTCAACAGTTCCTTGCGTTCTAAAATAGAACGACAAATAGATTAAACAGAGAAATAGTAAGTGTTAAAGTAGTTAAAAATAGAAAAGTTTTTTTTGTAAAATTTTATTTGAAACTCATACTCATATAAAATAAAAAGACTTCAAATCTGCGTATTATTTAGTTTCTTGAATATTTATTCGTAAAATTTTGAAAAGAAATTAAAGTAATAGATTCGATTATGTTATTAGTATTTTTCATGTTATTCGATTAAGACGCAAAATTCAAAAGTTAAACCCATATCATTTTTGAAACAATGACTTTCATCATTTAAAAAAAAGAATTCGTTCGAATTATGAAGAAAATTATTCAAATCTCTCAATTCGAACACATCGAATTGTACTAGAAGAAGATAGCACAATATGAGATGTACGGCTTTATTCATTGTCACGTTCAAAGTCAATATCAGCGTTAGATAGTTTTCAAAATAATTCACTCAAACGAACAAAAAAGAAAATCGATGTGTCTTCTAGAACAAGAGAATAATTTCATTTTTCCAACAACCTTTTTTGATTCATAGTAAATAATTGAGACCAAGCACTTTTGACAACGATCGAGATCTGACTATTGTGGAAATAAATAATGAGCAAACGAGAATTCAACAAAAGCAAAAGGTACTACTACATATTAGTCACATTCTCGCCCTCACTCTCATATTGATTCGTGCGTTCAATCTATCAATCAGTGTAATGGTGTGACTAAACTGCAGAAGAACCAAAATCAATATATGTTTGTTTTCAACGTTGAAAAAATCAGATTCTAATCAAGTCAACAGTATAAGTTATTGATATGTGAAAATATTGATTACTTTTGTAAATGAGAGCAGTTCTGTTCTGTTTAAAACAAATGAAGCACTTATTTCAATAAAATCGATGTTTATTTTTACTCCACATTTTTGTTTCATTTCAGTACCACTACGTGCGAGTTTAACTGATATTCATCCCAATGCAACTTGGAGGCAGAATGCTCTCACTGTTGCTGGAGGAAATGGAAAAGGACATGAAATCAATCAACTCTGGGACCCCTGGGGTTTGTATGTCGACGACGATCAAACGGTTTTTGTTGCTGATTGCTGGAATCACCGTATTGTGGAATGGAAATCTGGTGCAAAGAATGGCAATGTGGTTGCCGGTGGAAATGGACATGGAAATGGAGCTCACCAGTTAAGTTGTCCAATGGATGTGATCGTCGACAAAGAGAGAGATAGCCTCATCATCAGCGATTACCAAAATAATAGAGTAGTTCGATGGCCTCGTCGAAATGGTACTAGTGGAGAAACTATCATTTCGAATATTTCTTGTTGGAGTTTGACAATGGACGAGAATGGATCTCTATATGTCGTTGATGAAGGAAAACATGAAGTAAGACGATATAAAACTGGTGAAACCAAGGGAACAGTAGTTGCAGGTGGAAACGGACAGGGAAATCGTCTCGATCAACTCTTCGATCCCCGCTACGTATTTGTTGATCGAGATCATTCAGTGTATGTGTCTGATTGTTACAATCATCGTGTGATGAAATGGGAAGAAGGTGCAAAACAAGGCATTATCGTAGCTGGTGGTCAAGGATCAGGAAATAGTCTTACACAATTGTCACATCCTGAAGGAGTCGTTGTCGATCGATTGGGCACTGTCTATGTCGTTGATCATGCGAATCATCGAATCATGCGTTGGTCAAAAGAAGCCACACAGGGAAGTGTCATTGTTGGTGGACACGGTGGAGGAGCACAGTCAAATCAACTCTATTATCCGGTTGGTTTATCATTCGATCGACATAGCAATCTCTATGTCGTCGATCACAAAAATCTTAGAGTACAAAAGTTTGGTATCGAATAAACTGACGTTTGTACGATGATTAATTTGATTTTTATTCTCTTCCTTTTTCAAATAAATCGTGATTGAACGAAAACGAATTCATGACTATTCTATTCGCACGCGCACGCGGGTGTGGATGTGGTTAGGTGCGGATGTAGATATGAATAGGTGAGTATGGGTGTGGGAGTGTTGGGTGTAGGTGTCAAAATAGGATTATGAAAAAAAGACTACATCTATACCCACAGACAAGCGTTACTTGTTATGTTTCCTCAAGGTTATCAAAGATTCAGAAAGATTCCACAATATTCCTAAAGAGTCCAAAAGGTTCTCAAAGATTCTAGAGATTCTTGATTTCGAGAATCCGCTTTTTTTCCTTTCACCTACCCACACCACACACTCACATCGATACCCACACACACCCACACGCCCACCCGCCCCGCACCCACACCCACACTCACACCCACACCCACCCACACCCACACCTACACACCCACACCTACACGCACCCACACCCACACACCCACACCCACACCCACCCACAGCACACACCCACATACACACCACCTTCACTAAGGTGTGTGGGTGTGCGTGGCAGAGAGGTTTGAAGAACATACAAATCCATACTCAAACCCTCCACACCCACACACCCAACCTAATTTTATACTTCTTCGTTTTACTTTTTCTATACGTTTCCTCACATAAAATTTTGTTCCATCCATGATAACAAAGTTCTCAGTAGTTTTTATAGCTGCGAATATAACCACATGTGCTCACGAAAACTGGTGCACGTAGCTTTCGACTCAAAAGTGCTAGTTTTGCAGAAGTGAAATCAGTTTCTGTATCCATTGACCGCACGAAAATGAGAATTGAAAAAGAAGAACGCAGCTGGTGACTTTCTTCAAGAACTGCCTGTTCACCAGCAGCAGCAACCTATCACTGCACTTTTATGATTTTTGTCCTCGTGTGTGGCGTTTTGCCCTACGATTTTGGGAAGGTTGCGCTCCTCCTATTTACTTACATGCTTTAATAAGGCTCATGGGAGAACTTCAGTGTCGACTGCTGACAAATCGTTTTTCACGTATTGCTTAAGAGTCACTGCACGAGAGATACAACCGCCCTCGTGCAATCGTAGTTCCGAATCCATTTCATACCGAGGGTGTGGGTATAGCTGGAAGAATGAATCACCCACACCCACAACGACACACCTACACCCACACCCCCACACCCACCCACACCGACACCCATACCCTGATCACAAGCTCGAAGAAAAAGAAGGATCTACACGCAATGTCGGCAGACGGTGCACTGGCTGCTATGCGAAGGGAAGGGCCCAGCAGTCAAGAGCAGCGAGCAACGTGGCTGCAAAGAAAGTAAAAACCTTCTGTTCTGACTGCGATAAATTTTTTTGCTTGAGTGTTTTAATAATAAGCATTATGCTATGCAATAAAGGACTCAAATGAAGTACTGAAGATAGAACAGATGACACCTTATGTTTAACTTCTTGCCAAAGAAAAAAGCAAAAGAAAGTGCTTTTCTATACAGTTTCTCGTTAAACTATAGCGTCGCCCACCAGTGGGTGACATCGGGCCCAATGTGTTAATGTACAAACACGAAAATAATAATTTGAATCTTCAGTTAATTCTCTTGTAAGAATATTATATTGATATGATGAAACATTTTTTTCTTTATTGGAATCCAATTAACTTAAAAAATATCACGACGTTCAATAAAACAAGATAAAATATCACTTGATAATGATGATCTTCATAATAGAGATATTGCTGTCGAATCTATATTTATTGTTTGTAAGAGTTTATCAGGTACAGATGGTGAGGGTATGGATGTGGGTGTGGGGTGTGTGAGTGGGGTGTGTGGGTGTGGGGTGTGTG